ACTCATAAATAAAGCCAAAGTCAAAATCTACTCAACACCGGCAGCTGACTGAGCTGACATTTCACTCGACGCACGCCGTGCCTTCTGGGCGAGCCCTGCGCGAGAGTTCAGTAACCATCAAGGGACTTTTGTTTGCATTTGACTTCCCGTCTTACGGTGGATGGCCCAGAAATCAATAAATCGATCGCGGCTGTGGCACAGCCTTTGGAACGAAACTGTTAGATAGGTTTGTCAACAAGGCGAAACGATTTTCCGTCCAGCTTGCATTCAACCTCTTCAAGTGCCACTAAAACGAATTCCAATTAGGCCTATATCGGTATCTACGAAATCTGTTGCTTGACCATAGATAATTGAGAATATCTGAACCTCTGTACAAAAACAGTAATTTGCCATTGAATTTTGGGAGGAAAGAACATACCTATTTCCGACCGGGATATCTTGGTTGGAATTATGCACAACATATCATCCATCCTGAACTTGGCAAAACTCGAACTTGGAAGCGATATAATGATAACTCTTATCAACTTCCTGGATTATTTGCAAAAAGCATTCCTTTTTTGCCAAATAAAGTAAAGTCCCCAAGGATTGATGTGGTGGTCCTTCTCTCTCTTCAAAACCGACAGGTCTCAGTCGAGACCGCTCACATAAAAATGCGCCACAGATTCCGTTTTGAAGCTTCGACGTCACACAATGAGAGTGTTTCCCTACAACGCAATGACCTTTTTCCCTCCAAAACCTTTTAAAATGGATTACTCTTGTGGGCAAGCATCGGACCCTTTCCATCACAATCAAATTAAATTAAACCAGTACAGCCAGTTGCATAAAAGAGCATTATAATAAAATTGAATTACTTCAACAGCATGCATGACTTCCAACATACCGCATACTGCATTAATCTGTAAATCCATGCAACACGTGTGAGCGACATGAACGGATAAAATCCTTTTGTGCGGTTTTAAAGATGTGACTTAATTTTGGTCGTTAATTTATAAACTCCTTTGAACAGAATAAATATATTCGATTGAGCTGTAAGCACATATTGATGTGTAGCCTATGTATTTTGGGCACGTCACTTGCGGTATACATGTGAACACACTGTGTAATGTGGACTATGATGATGTATCCTCGTAGTAACTCGCTGTGACACGAAAGTATCGCGAAGACGGCTAGGTTGGCCAGCTGTAACCTACTTCTGTCATATCTCATCAACCGTTTTTTTTTCGCTGAGGAAGACCAGTTATGTATGGGATCAGGCGGCAGTGCGGAGGCCCGTCTGGTGAGCGAAGCAGCTCTCGTCTTCACGCTAGAAGCGCCATCTGCATTTTACACTTAAAAAGGGATGATTTCATTTCAGTTCGTAACTGATCTATTATCAGTGACATCCTGTCGCGTTGCTTTTGGTTGGCCTGTTATATCAGTACTCCGAAATTGAACTCAAAGTGATTACTAAGGCCTGGAAATTTACAGTGGTTTAACACCGAGGTCTTATCTTATACTCAGTCACACTTGGTATCTTCCAGGGTTTCAAAAATATCCACTTTCACGCTATTGCGATGCGCACGTCGAAATAGCAGTTTCAATTGCCGTTTGTCATGTACGCATGCATTTACCTGCACACAAATATGAACTTTTGGTACGTGAATACACTACTCTGGCTTTTGTCTTAATTAATTATAACCCAGTCTCGATATCGTGCAGCTTGTCGAATCGTGGAACATTTTTGTACCTAGCTTATGGATCTTTGATGAATCGATGTTCATCTCTGCAACCTTCCCAGAAAGCTTGTAAATATTGAAATGTTATCCGCAACACTGCGGCAAAGTCTGGCGACTTTACAAATAATACATATACATCTGCAGGGTAGGCGCATACCGTACATCTGTCTTAACGGTGTACTCTAAAAAGGACGCTTGGAGTTCTAAACACTTTCTTGTACCCACATTTTTAACGTGTTTAGTTGCGACATATTCATTGTTATGCGTTAAGGAATATGTTTAAATGGATTCCAAAAAGCTGAACTTGTACAATGGAAAAAGCGTTTAGCATTTAAACACATTCCTAAACACATTTCAATAAACATGTTAAAAAAATGAAACGTGTTAAAAACAATTGGGTACAAAAAGTGTTTAAATTCTAAAGTTTAAAAATGTAGTTTTATCGGTGTACCAATTTACGCGGGCTTTCGTAAGTCCGATGGTGATTTCGTAGCATACACTCTTTTCAATAAATGCATAATTGCTTGTATTTCGGAGCACGGTGGATTGCACGGGTCGTACTTTTCTAAATTAATCACTGCACGAATTATAGGGAAAGTCTTTATATCTTTCCGTGTGGATAATGTGATTCGGCATGTATGAATGTCGCGCCGCCAAATGTTTACTGGTATTCTGGTATGCAGGCTGGGCATCCGGCCGTCGAACCATCTGGGAATCAATCCCTGAAATTATTTATATGCGGAGCCCTCCGCAGTACGGAAAAATCTAAAATATCTGCAATATTTGTCAACAATGTGCAGCGGGCTTCACAATCCTCCTTCCTTAAATCGAATCAAGTGGCGCTGTAAGGGTCTCTAAGTTTCAAAGTAGAGGAGTGCTTCTTAACTGCTGTGATTTGTAAGATTTGAAGCCTTGCCTTGGGGAGGCTACAGACTGAGAGATGGTTTGCCTGTGTGTGGGATCAATCTCTTGTAGACTCTTCTAGAAGTGTGGGGGTCCTGAGAAGAACCAGTGAGTGTAAACTCGAATTCTCGACCATGATGCTCTGGTAGTCCCCCAGTGGAGGATCAGAAAATGACAAGGGCATTCATGGAGGAGGGTGTAGCCGCAAACCTTTCTGTTACTTCCGAATGATCCTGAGACTTTTCCAGCTTATTATCGCAAAACACGGCCAGACAAGGTGAACATCTGTATTTGTACACCTACAAGCTCTACATCATAACTTCTGTCTGCCATGCATGCTTATGTTGCGAGTTTGTATAATGAATTTGATAATGATGTCCCACATTTGGTTTATCAGAGCTACCAACTTCGATACTATTGTTGATAGGCCTACCACATTCACTATATGCGGGAGAAAATCCATACTGAAAAAGTCTGCGTATGGCATAAGGCCAATGCGAAAGACGAATTATCGTAGACGTTATACGAAAGGCCAGTCGAGAAGAGTTACAAAAGCCGCCAATTGTTGACATGCCTGCTAATATGAAAAAAAGGTGTCTGAAGCTGTTTTTTTTTAAATGTGTGCGGGAAGGGTATGAAAAATGAATATGAAATGACGGACCCTGTATGGCAGAAGTGAGAGGGGCTTACATTCTGGTGTGCTTGGAATAATCAGAGACACGTCACAATTGTTATAACCAAATGAATACATTATTCAGCACCGCGGCTTTTTGGGTGGTGAACATGACAGGGTAATAAGTGGGGAAAGCCTACGTGTTCGAGAGTTATTAATGGAACGGTGGCGGTGGGTGGATCATTATCGGGCGTTTTGAGTACTTCAGGACGCGAAACACTGATAATTTAAAATGGCCAGGGGAGTTGAATTTACGTTCAATGGTTGGGCTATTCAGGAAATGTTACACGCGAAGAAAATGAAGTTGAGGCGTACACATAATATATATATGAACATAAATCGTACAGGAGTCATAGCCACGGAGTCACAATCAAGAACTTAAAATTAAGCTTCTGGGATTCAGAGCAACCGACCCCCCCAAAAAAAAAATCGAGACACCGGCAAAAACGTGTCATTTTTATACCGACACTATACCACACAGATATTCCAAATGATTTTTCAGGTATGTAACAACAAATTCCGCAAGTACTCTATGCACTTGGCTATCATGTATATTTGTTTATTTGGAGTTGGAAAATAGGAAACGAATTGATCGTCTAATGACCGTCACCGCATGTTACTCGAGGCCGAGTGATAACATGTGGAGGATTTACTGGGTTGATGAAGTCAGCATGGCGGATTGATCCGCTCTCGCGTGATTTGGCTGGCCCAGCAATAAACACCGTTAAGCGCTACTTAGCTTGCGTCGCAAAGATCCTTTCAAGGTAAATACCCTAATCCGGCTTACAAAGAGCTGTGGACAGTATCTGGACTCCAAGCCGTTGCGGATCGATAGCGGTAATTTTGACAGGTGTAGGCCTATGCACATGACGACGGGAGGGGAAAACAAGCCAACGTGGAGGCCAAAATGTAGAATCGCATTTCAATGCATTTTTCTGTATCCGATATACCCTTTAAAACTTCATTTTTGGGCCGTTTCTTCGTTCAAAAGCTTGTAGAAACCGACATCTTGTGTATATTTCGACATCACTTCAAGAAACAGAGGTACAGTTATCGTAAACTCAAACTTACAACGCTTAAACTCTCAATTTTTTAATGACCGCCTTTGCGAAAAAGGTGTACCATTTGCCAGATCTAAGAAACCAATGATCACGATAAAAACATTTTCAAATTTGAGAATCTCTTAACATCGTTGAAGTTACACATCACTTGCAATACCTCTCCATACCTGAACCTTTTTGATGAGAAGGATGACAGAAGAATGTTTCAATATACAAAACAAAACCCACGATGCCTATTTCTGGGGTTCTTGCCACGGCATTCATTGAAGTTTTTCAGGGCCATATCTGCCAGTAAATGTGTAAATGTATTTCCCACTTAGGCCAATGTAACGACCACACGCAACGATGTCTTCATCTGTTCCGTGGCCTGCATAATGATGCGACCTCTGGTAATGTCTGGTTGTCGCTTCGCGTGTTATCAAGGAGTGAATTACGACGGGGGGGGGGAACTCTTACCAACACACAAACAGCTGAGACTACATCTGACTTTTAATCGGCCGCTTAAACCATGAGTGTATACTTCAAGAACGCTGTGACGAACCTTTGGCTACTTTTTAAGAACAAAACCGACAAGGGTGAAAACAAATATATTGAGGCATGCCGAATGGTAAAAGAGAAAGAAAACGAAGCAAAAGTAATGGCACTGACCAATTTGGACTGAGTCTGGAAGTGTGTATCGTCCGTGACCACCTTGGAAGCACAGCATCAGAAACAGGGCCAGCGGAATCATCATCAGGCAGTCATGTCTCCTGCCAGTTCTATCCATTTTCGTATCGTTGAACAGCCTTCTTCACAAGGCTTGACAACTCCTGGAGCACGCACTACCCAATCCTTGCAGATTGCGACCGTAGAAATCAGGGCTTCACATCGGTGGCCGACGGCGATGGGTATATAGATCCACTGCCCAAGTTAAAAGTGATCCCCGACAAACAAGTGCACTTCAGGAGCCAGCAGAGCGACAAGCAAGGGCAGGCAGATGCGGCTTTTAGTCCAGCTTATTTCCAGCGTTACTGTTCTGCCGTAACGCTCTGCTGTTCGGCACAAGGCCAGGCGCTTTGTTCCTCCAGCTCCTCTACCTGCAGATCGTCCACAACCTATAGAAGGAAACTAGGAGAGACAAATAGCGAAAAATGTATTTTTTTCCGGTGCAATTGGGTTAACGTTTACAAACTGTAATGACGGTTGCGCTCCGCTGACCACGGTGAGGACGCATGCAATGCCGGGTTTGCGCGAACACTGCAACTTACTGTTTGCGCCTCCACGCATGGCAGACGGGATCTGCGCCAACGTCACAGCACGTGACTTCTCAGGCATGCAATGATAAATCCACCGGACTATTCGGAGTGAGAGGATGAACACACAAATTGTATATGGCAATGCAACTCTAGAGTGAAGCTGCCGAGAGCCCCTGGATTAGTTTTTAATGGTGTATATCCATCTTCCGCGTATACTTTCAAGTGTTCTGTTCTGTAATGTTAGCAAGTGTACACACTGCGGCTAAAACGCCTATGCTTCGCGCAACAAATCTTCTGGAGTGGGTAGAATTACCCGATGAAAATAGCACTTTAATCAGACTAAATATAGTACTCTTCGCGCCATTGGAAGGCAATCCCGTAGACCTCTGCAACGTTTTGTCGACCCATGAACTCACCCAAACAAATATGAGCTTAATTCAACCAAACTTTCTAATTATTAGTTGGAAGCTTCGCCAGCTTAAAGGAGTTAAAGCCTTGGGGAGTAATCTCCTTAATGTCGATCGTCTTACTTATAACATTTACACATAACACTTACATATAACATACTCCACTGATACTTCACATTCGCAACATTTTTTTTATTGGGCTTAAACGTGGACTTAGTTGAATTGTTTCGATTGGCACTTTAGTTTACCAGTAATCCTTACAACATTCTGATTCATTCCAATTTATGTGGCTTTATTTCAGCAAAACATCCATTAGCCAGAAATGAATATTTGTATGTCTTACATCTGGGGGAGGAGGGTTGGGAAGCTAGGTTGTTTCAGAATAACACAGTGAGTCCGTGAGCAAAGTGCTTTTCAGAAATGAGCACGCTTTGTTTTTAGCATCGTTTTCATAAAATTAGAATTATATTTGACCATTTTCTAATAATCCACTCAGGAACAAAATCCCAATAAATCACAATTATTAGCAACGACCAGCCGTAAATCACAAGGTATGGGCCATCTACACAACTTTAGAAAAACCAAAAGCTTCCGAGTAATTCATGGGTAGCAAAAACAGAATTTGAGCGTGACCTGATTCCAGGATATTCTATATTTCTTCTTAGTTCTCCTTACGTTTGCGTATACAACACGCGATAAAAGGGAACACATAATGGAAACACTTTACTACAACCCTTGAAATTGCTCCTTTGTGTTTCAATTAAGCTTCTTTCCAAATGTGTGTTTTGTTTTTCGAATATGTATTTTGCAGCCTTTACGGTGCTAACGCTAACACAAATTTGCATATTCATAAGCACGAGTGTCAGGTCATTAAAGGCACTGTACCTCTATGCTGCATTGATTTCTACACAAAACCTGCTGGAAATTCCATATGATGTTGTAGAAACTTTTCGTGTCTTGGACATATTATTATTGTGCATGTAAAGACAGCAACTTTGGGGCTTCTCTAGTTCACATCACAGCAAAAGCGCCCTCACTTGTCTGGAAAAGCTTGGGCAATAGTTTTAAGGTTGAAAAAAGTGCAAATTTGAGTACACTTATCTCCGAAAGGATTTCAATTACGTTTCATACATTGAAAAAGAGTATAAAGATGCACTAAAAGCGGGCCTAAGAAAGTTCATTGCATGAATCCTTTAAAGCTTACAGTGCATGTGTATGTTAAAGTGCCACGGCGCCAATAGAATGAGATTTGTTTGTCTGGTACGCGAGACTAAGGAGGCAGCGAAAATCCCAGGACTCGGTTTGATGACTATAGTGTTACGACCCAGGAGACTACAGTGTGAATCAGGGAGCGCCTTCCCGACGTCCAATGACCGTGACTGTAGTAAAACGATCTTCAAACCCGACCTAGCCAACACCTTGAATCAGATCTGGCTGCATTCAAGCATGTGCTGATTAGTACTATGTGCCGACTTACTCTATGCTATATTATTCCAGCAAATTGTATTAAAAGAGAGACGGTTATATTTGCCATACAAAGTTCATGCTACACATCAATTCAAAATTACCGGTGTAAAGGTGACTTCGAGGAACACACATCAACCTCCGTCAGTATAATAAATCTCTTTGCCCCGGCGTTTTAAAAATACCCGTGCTGGAGGCATGTGATGGACGACTTTGACATTTGCGAAGGGCCGGAATGGCACTTTAGGGAAGAAGGGAGGCGCGAACCTTATCTAAAATCTGAGATGTTGATATATTATTTGGGGTTTTGGACTACATCGGGAGCCCCCACTTCTATCTGTGTGACTTTTTAAAAGAGGAGTTTTCTGAAGCCTAACGTTCTTGGTTGATGCTCATAACAGCCCTACCCGTTTTTTCACTCCTGTAAGCCTACAGTTTTGATCTCTCTCCGTAAATTTGTGTGACTGTATGTAATGATATCAAGCTTTAATCTAGATTTAAAAGCCATGTAATTTTGGCTCATCTCAGGGGGGGGGTGAGTAAGAACTCGGTTGTGCCTCGCTTGATCTTTTGAAACTTGGCATGCATGTATGATGCATGAGGAGGCATGTGGCCTAGTGGTTAGGGTTTGTAGCTTACATCATAGGGTCAGGGGTTCGAATCCAGCTGGTGGCAGCATATTGTGATCCTGGGCAAGTCACTTTACCCCTATGTGCCTCTCTCCACCCAGTAGTAAATGGGTACCTATGAGGGCAGACACGGTTATGTTTAGCTGTTTGCGCCGAAATGGCAGCACCGGGCTAGTATACTCTGCAGGGAGCTGAGATGGTTTCAGGAATGTTCATAGATGTATGAGCCCAATGTGCAGGGATAACAATGACGCTTTGAAACGTTGTGGCAAACGCATTACAAATATTTTAGATATTATTGTTATTATTATTAAGTAAAGACACTCCTATCATTACAAACATGGAGTTTAAACTCAATCAGACAATGGTTTTGTAGTTACGGTTATTTGAAGTTCAAGGCCACATGTGTGCCAGCCCGCGCTTGTTGAGCACTGCGGTGGAAAAAGTATATGCATTTGTGGCTGATCAGTCTGGGGAAAATGCGCGCTGCGCAAGAACAGCATGTCCAATTTTTGTAAAATTGCTGTCAAGAAGACCGCAAGGAGTTATTCTCCAAAACCCCCCAAAGGCTCAACTTCTAGACAAAATGCATTGCGCCAATATCGGAAAAAATGTGTGTGTGTGTGGGGGGGGTTCCGCTCTTCTAGGGTTATGGCACCTTAATCTGACAGTACAAACATGCAAATGTATAGATCCCCAGCGTATGACGTCACGTGAGAGGGCATTTCTTTCTTCCTCCAGGATAGGCTCGAGCAAACCTTTTGTGCATTCATTGTCATTAAATCTAAAACAGGTCCTCAGGGAGGGCGCTCCACGCAGGCCCTCTGTTTTACAAAGTGAAATAAAGATAAAAATAAAACTTTGTGGGGGAAAACCTGCGAATTGCTGGCTATTTGTTGGACGTTGCAGCACTCCTGCGTCATTACGGATGATTCACAAAAGTGCGCCTCCAAGAGTTTGCAACTTGTTGGCCGATCTTAATGCGCAAAGTTTGTCGACCCTTTTTAAACGCGCATTAGGTCGACAAATTTCGTGCATTGTGATTGCCCAACGAGTTGCAAACTCTTGTAGGCGCACTATTGTGAAACGCCCGTATTGAAAAGTACATTCGAAATTTTACAATTGGGCTAGAACACGTTTGTCATCGCAAAGTAGTTGATATCCCATATAGGGTATATATACTAATGGCACTACGTAATCAGTTTCGGTAGAGCTTGGAAACCCATTTAATTACGAACATTACACACAGGCATCATCTAGTCTCATCCGACTGATGCATAAACACCTAATCGGATGAAGCCAGCACGAAACAACGAGGGCAAGGCTTCTACCGGATAAGTTTGAGACTCTCCGTTTTCCTCGAAGGCTCTGTCATCTCTCACTAATAGTGCATTATTGGGTACCGACCCCACTCGAGCGCTTTAATTTTCGTAAGAGCGCGAGGGCAGTCCCTTGGCTGATTGCTTGGCTAAACAAATCAGCAAGCAACCAGCGTTTGTTTTAATATCCTTACAGATTGGTAATCTGTAAGATCATTCGCTAGACGCCCAATAGGGTAATGAGTTGGTGAATAGTCCGCTGCATTAAGGCGGTGACGGAAATATGGCGATACAAATCCACAACCACACGTTTGAAAAACTAAGTTGAATTGGCAGATTCTTCGTCTGTGAAACATTTTGGCACTTTTACGAGCGATATTGGCTACTTGTTTAACGGATCGGATTTTAACTTCCCCCTCCACTTACATGACTAACAGCCCCATCCTATAGGCCTAGAGATCCTTCTCTATATGTTAATTGATGTTCCTTCTATCGTCTGGAGCAATGAGATGTTGGTGAATCAGAGAGGAATGAATTACGCCGGGCGAGACCAGCAGCAAATTGCCATTGAGGGTGCTCGCCGTCCAAGGTTTGCATAAACATTCTGTGCGGATCACGTAACAGTCTCTTAACCCTTCGCACGTCCAATCTCGAGAGCCAAGCACACATTTGCTGAATCTTCACATCAGAGTCCCCTCTTGAAATTACCGAATGTCAAACAGCGGGGAAAACCGAGGTCCAATTACCCTGGGTTCGAAGGGAGTATAGGCGACGAACCGGGTCGGGGAAAGCAGGGGAAATTGAAAATAATGTGGGCAGAACAGACATGCACTTCCTGGCAAAAAGGGTTCAAGGGTTCTTGGCTGCGCCGGCACAGACGGCTGATGGAAAAGGACTGGCGGAACTGGGGAGTCGCGAAAGTCAGCAAACCGATACCTGTCATTACACCCACTCTGCTAACATTGAAAACCCATTTTCATCCAACCAGCTCTAAAACAAAAAAGATGAAGCATCAACAGACTCTTCTCACGAAGATAGATACACGGGAAAGAA